CAACATAGCAATAACTGTTTTGCTCGGGACAACTTATCTTGCACCAAATTTTCACAACACGTAAAGAAGAACTATATCTGTGCAACTTTAAAGCATTGTTAATAGCACTATCCAATCACTTTATATAAGAAAATTTTAAAAAAAAACAAAAAAACCAAATGTTTAGAAGCAAATAACTTTGATTTCACACTGTTGCATAGATAATTTCTCACAATATATGCTAAGAAATTTTGGTTTTGGAGCATTTTGGAGCCACTACTACCAACACAGAAAGATAGAAGTTGTCCTGCGCAAAACAGTTTTTTGCTATGTTGTACATTTGTGGGATGGAGTCACCACATACGGGTGTGACATCATCTTAAGTCTTAATATTAAAATTAAATCTTAATTAAAAAATACTCTGTTCAAACATTTAAATATTTACTTTCCAATAACACCTACTAATACATTGTATCACATATTTTATTATTTTAATTTTAGATTCTGAGCGGAGCAAGGAAGCTAGTGGTTTTACAATGGTGTTTATTTTTTTTTTTATTTTTTTTATATCCTGTATACAAAATTTCTACCAGAAGGAGTGCTTTGATTTCAACATATAGTACCTTATCTTTTAGCAAATTCGACCAAGATGGTACTTTAGAGAGGTCATTTTTCGATTTTCTCAATAGTTATTTAATGCCACGGGAAAAAGTACTGAAAAATTACGAAAAACCGCTTAAAATGGGATTTTAATTTCTAACAATTTGTTTATCACCGTAGCACGAATAAAAAAAATAATAATTAAATAAATAAAATAATTAATGACAATATAAAATATACAGACTGACAAACCGTCTCCGTTCAGAATCGTTTTTCTTATACAATGATATTATATCATTGAATTCAAGTTTAATACAATTCATTAAACAATGACCAACTTGTAACCTACTGTACAGCTGAGCGACATCCACTTACCTGCCTTTTTTTAGAGTTAACACACATAAAAACCTGTGTTTTATTCTAAACAATTGGAACAAAAGCCACCTCAACCTGTTAAAAGATTCGGGATGTCCTACAGTAGGTAAATTTACTAATCATAGTAATATTATTTATCAAATTTGATTAAATATGTAAATTATAGGTTTACTGGTGTTCAAACCCGTTCCCACTCATGGAACTTACTTCTCAACAACGAAATACAAACTTCTTTGCAATAAACCTAAGCGAACACCAATTACCTTCATTACCAATCTGAATTGTATTGGTGAATAAAATTATTTGTCAATGAACTATTAATTATCATTATAAGACAACTTTATTTTTTAATTTTATAATAAAAAAGTAATGTATTTAAATTCGAAATAAAATATACTATTATACTTTTCATATTTGTCGTGTTTATAGTTTAATTGTAATGTAAAATTTAGAAATACATATATGACTAATGTGTTGTAATTTAATGTAACTAAACATGAAATTCTTAGTCAGAAAGAAGAAATAAATTGTAATATAAGATATAGCTGTAGCGACCATATAAAACATTTAAAAATAATTTTGTTTTTTATGTAACAGAACTTTAAACTAAATCTTATGATTAATATGTTTTTTTCGACTTTTTAACTTTAACTAAGTTTTACTGTTTTTTATTTACATTTTATTATGAAGTATGAGTAGAACACAGATTTGTATGCGTTTGCATATTTATTCTGGTTGTTGGTATGATATTCTAAGTGAGCACAGAATTTGTTCCCTTATCAGGGTTTATTTTATATCTTGGTGGAGGTGTTAAAGATTAGAAAAAAAAAAAATATTCGAATAAAAAAAAATAAAAAAAAAAATAGGAAACAAGCTTGATAAGAACTATATACGTATTTTGTAATACGTATATAGTAATAGACAGCTGTAGACTGATCTAAGATTTTTATGGTAAATAGACAGCAAGGACCAATCTAAGATTTTTATGGTATTTTATAATAGACAGCAGGGACTGATCTAATGAATTAAAGTAGACGGCGATAGGCTGATCTAGAAAATTGATGCACGGCCGTAGCATTTTGAATTATATATGGGAATAATTGATTAAAGTGAAATATTGAATTTATGAATTGAAATATAGAATGATAGATAATTGTTGAAAGAAATTAATTGATATATTTAAGAAAATAGATTTTGAATTAAAAGGCAGTAGATGACCATATTGAATAAAAGTAGTTGCAACAAATTTCGAAAAGTTTTGGGAAAAAAACAATTAATTATAGGGGCCCTAGGATAAGATTTAGTATAATATTACTACGAATAAGTTGATAGAATAATTAATAATGATTAATGAAAGGTTAATTTTTTGTGTTTAAAAATTAAATTGTTAAAGCGCGTAAATTAGAAAATTAAATCATTTAGAGAGATATATTAGTAAAAAGAAAAATAAGGGATAGGAAGTCGAATATTATTAGAGGGATTTACGGAGTAATTAACCGGAGATTGTTTTTTTTATAATATTCGAGCGTAGTACAAGCGCGTACGCTTGAAACATCGCGGAACATTGTGAGCGGAACGGGTGAGGAGATAAATCGAATCGACATTTAACACGCGTAGCATAGGCGATTGAACGTGTTATTAGGTAGGTACCTACCTACACATCCATTTTCGACGTACAACGCGCGTTTACGCAATTTATTTTATGAATAATTATGTTGCATGTTGTTTATTTTATAAGTAATAATAAATATGTATAATTAATTTTGGTGATGCGGTAGTTACGTATTAATCGTTTATAAATAATAATAGTAGATACATGTAGGATAAATACTATTGGTAATTACATACGCGGACAGAATATTAATTGAATAAGGAAAAAGAAATATATTAATCTAGCTTATTTTAAATATAATTAACATGGTAATGAAAAAAATATATAATATACCACTATTTTATCATATATATATTATATTGCACGAAAAAAAAAATATATTGTAAAAGATTTTAAAAATTCATATTATATTATATTTTTAATTCATATTATATTAACACTAAGATAGGATTATTGTTGTAAAATAAAAAAAAATTTATTGTTAATCACATAAGATACTAAAAAACCTATATAATAAGCAAATATTATATATTGTAATATTGTGGATTGTAATCTGTATTTTGTCAAAAATATTTAATAAATGTGACCAGAAAAAAGTGGGCAAGTGGGTGGCGCTCTGCTGTACAGTAGGTTACAAGTGGGTCACTGTATAATGGATGGTATTCAATTTGAATTCAATGATATAATATCATTGTATAAGAAAAACGATTCTGAGCGGTGACGGTATGTCAGTCTATGTATAAGACATATTATATACATATCTATGGTATTAAACAAAAAATTGACCTATAATAGGTAGGTACCTATAATAAATTCCAAATTAATCATATCACAATATCCATTATATACTTATAACGCGTTATACATCAACAAAAACCGTGATACTATCATAGATATATAATAGTACACTTTAGAAGTTTCAAGTACTCACTAATTTTATACAATCACAACGAAATAACTAAAATAGTTATTCTAGGTTTTTTAATTTGTAATTTCGTCCAAATTTGAATTTAAAATGTCTGTAAAAAATAAGTGTGTTCATATATTTTTTAGATTTTTTGGTTATATTATGAACTATTTATGAGAACCTTTGTGTTGAATTTGTAATCCTTAGCTATAAAAACTGAACATTTTATAATTTATTAATTACAATGATTGATAATTTTCGAGATTTTGATAGATTTTGTCAAAATTTGATCTTTAAATGCTTATAAAAAAAAACTGTGCATATGTATTTTTAATATTTTTCAACTGCTTTTGTAAAAATATATCAGGAGCCTTGAAAATAAATTTTTACACTTTTTGGCTCAACAGATAAAACTTTATTGATATTTATAGAAAAAAAAAACTAAAAAAATTGAAAACTGAAAATGTCCATAAACAGCTCAAAAAGAGTCAAAATATTTTCAAAATGTATGGTGTATAGAAAATGCTAATTTATCGCTCCGCTCAGAATCTAAAATATAAAAAAAAACACACATCATTGTAAAACCAATACATTCATCGCTCCGCTCAGAATCTAAAATATGGTGGAATCGACAATCGTGGAATGTACCATATAATTACAATAGGTAATGTAACTAAATATTTGTAACAAACATATTATGTGAACATGTAATAATTGATGTATGTAAAACTTGTAACCATAGGAAAGTGCTTGAACTAATAGAAGGATAATTGAGTTAGTTTTTCTCGTTTTAGACGATAAAAATCAACTTTTAAAGGGGGAGATGTAGTAAGCAAGTTACAACGTGACAAAAAAACCAATTTCACGGGTGCATAGTTAGCATAATATACTGTAGATCAGCATAAAACAGATATTAAAAAGGAAGTGGTTAGGTTTCCTTCTGTTTAATATAAGGAGACAAAACCACTGAAAAACTCAGGACGTAGGGTTTAAAAATAGGCGGATGTAAATATGTAATATATTTTACAGAAGCACTGAACACAACGATACTAAAAGAGTAAAATGATTATTTTAATGAAATAGACCATGGATTAATAATTAGTAATAGGCAGAATATATTGGGATTTGGGAAATCGTTAATGCGTGGGCTGGAACGATGACCACACAAATTACATCCGTGAGACCCGAGATACAGTATCTATAGGCAAGGGGTACGGGGAACCTCATATATAAGGGAGCTCGAATAAGCCTGTATTCAGACATGTACTACCATTAATTTACAATCCAGGTACTAATTTGCCGTTTTTTGTACAACATAATTTTACATTGGACTCTACATGGAAATCTGTCGGAAATATTATATATTGTAAAAATGGTACTTGTCATGCAGAATTTACTATAAAGATTGAAAAAAGTACACAGATTGGATATGGCAATAAAAAATCTTCAACGCGATGGTCCACATTGGGATATAGTGAAACTGTTGCAAAGACTATAACTGACAGGGTGAAAGCTGGTTTTTCGGACATGGGCATACAATTTGACGGGTCGATTAAAACTTCTGTACAAAGTGATGGTGAACTATCATTTGAAGTTACTAATAAGAATGGTTTTACTGTATTGTATTCAACTAGTACAGAAAATACTGTCGGTGCGGAAGAAAAATTCACATGTGATGGAGTTCAAAATGAAAAAATATTTATGGAGGCGCGAACAAACATCACACGATTGAGGGGCAACGTTTGCGAAGTTTTATGTAATAATTTTGGTCCGACGAATGAAAACCTTTTCAAGTGTAATTACGTTGATTTAAAAATGTATCCAGTACATAATGAAAATATAGTCATCGAATTGCAATGTATCCGTGAAAAAATAGATTTATAAAATTAACTATAATAGAATTATTAGAACTATTGTAGTAAACAATATTAGTGGTATTGTTGAATAATAAAAAAACATTCATTAAATTATGTATATTGTTTTTATTTTTTCAGTATAAAAACATTAATTATATCGAAAACACCGCGTTCAAGGTACCTAATCTTGTATTATCATACACACGTAATAGGAAAAACGGGAATTTTTACGCAAAATCGATTTTTCAAAAAATCGAATTTGTTTTTTTTTGTAACTTTAAAAATAATAACAGTAGGTACATGCTATTTTCACTGGTAGTTTATATTTGCATTTTCTATACACGATAACATTTTCAAAATATTTTGATTTATTTTGAACTGTTTAGGGACATTTTCATTTTCCATATATAAATATCAATAAAGTTTTATCTATTGGGCCAAAAAGTGTAAAAAATGTAACACAAGACTCCTGATATATTGTTAAAATATTGAATAATTAAAATTGAATAATTATTTTCTAGTTAAAAATCTATAAAATGTTCAACTTTTATAATATCTAAGGATTGAAAATTTAAAATAAGATTCCACGTAAGTAGTTTATTCTTTTACCAAAAAATCTAAAAACTACATTAGCACAGTTTATTTTTATAGTTAGTTTAAGTTCAAATTTGGACGAAATTACATATTAAAAAACCTAGAATAACTATTTTAGTTATTTCATTGTGATTGTATAATATCATTGGTGGGTAGGTACTTGAAACTTCTAAAGTGTACTATTATATCTCTATGATAGTATCACGGTTTGTTGTTGATGTATAAAGCGTTATAAATAAGTACCTAATGGATATTGTGATATGAATTATTTGGAATTTATTATAGATGCCTATTAAAGGTCAATTTTTTTTTTAATGCCATTGTAGATATGTATATAATATATGTCTTAAACCTAGACTGACATACCGTCTCCGCTCAGAATCGTTTTTCTTATACAATGATATTATATCATTGAATTCAAATTTAATAACATCCATTATACAGTGACCCACTAGTCATAGGCGGCAACTAGGGGGGGCATGAGGGTGCAGTTGCACCCACGACAATTTTTCTTGAGGGGGCAAAAGTATCATTTTGCACTCACACACAGACAATCACAACAGTAAAAAATATTTTAATTATTTTATTGTTAACAATTATACTGATATAATGTAATTTTGATATTAAAAAATAACCATGGATCATTTCAATATTTTATATCGAATTACTCAATTAATTAGTTAATTAAGTAATTATTTAATTATACGGACTAAAATCTTAGTCAGTGATTAAATGTTAAAATACTAATAATAATAATTAAATAATACAGTAAGCTAATGAAGCTATAAGAAGTTTTGAAGAATTGAGAACAGATTACAATTTTCAGAAAGTATGGGAAAAGGCAGGTTTTTAGAGAATAACAATTTTGCGCAGAATAGTTAAATCAAATTTTATTTTTTAATTTTAAATATCAAATGGCTCTAATTATAGCTAATATCACTATTATAGTACGTACCTAATATTATTATTATTATTATTATTATTATTTTAAATAAGCAATGACTAAAAAATACAAATAACGGTATTAGGATATTTTGCCACTTCCCCGTATGCTTTTAAAATAATTAAGATGTTTTTATTTACCTTTTGGTATTGACAATAGTTCCACTACTATATGATTGGTTGGTTTTGTAACCACTTCTCTTGAGCAATTACAATTTATTGATACACAGCATTTTGTAATTGGTTGAAAAAAATCGTCTATTTCTTTTTGTAAATTAATAGTCTCATCGACGCCAAGAAATGTAATGACAACCTATCCTGCCAAACTTTTTTCTTTTTCAAAACATAGCATATTTTGACAAGTATCTAATCTAATATACGATGGCATATCTTCCAATAATCATCGCACATCGATGCAGCCGTGTCTACTGTATTGATTAACATTATACCTCCAATTAGATTTTTGCTCTCCGTTATAAAATGTAGTGCAAGCAAATATACGCGATCTCTGTACAATTTTTTAGCTACATTCTTATTATTTTTTCCTTCTGTTAAATACTTTTTATAATTATTGCTTTCTGCAACAGACACCACTAAAATTGACAACAAAGAATCTCCTGAACAAGTATTGTTCATCAATACTTTGTCATATCCTGTTACGTATATAGGTTTGTTTTGAAAACAAGAACCATTTCTGAGTAAGGCTATTTCATTAAATGTGAAAAAATGTAAAAAACATATTATATATAATATAAAGGTATAAATAAATAATACATTTGTTTTAAACAATAAAAAGTTTCAAAAAAAATTATTAACAGGGTAAACAATTGAACATGGGTGAGTACTAATTAATGAAAATTGAAAATAATTGACATGCACCATTTAGTCAAATGGATCGATGAACAAATTTTTTTTTGTGGTTACAAATGATTACAAATGATATTACATAATCTCCACTAGGTTTCAAGTACCTACAAGTCGAACTTCTGTAGTGGCGGGCTGTAGTGACGTCACCGTGGTCCCGCCACATGGAAACTTCGTTTTGAGCCGAAGTGGGTGGGTTACAAATTTTTTTTTTGTGGTTACAAATAATTACAAATGATATTACATAATTTGACATTAATTTCCATTTATAAATCGGAAGTGGCGGGGCCAGGGTAACTAACCTGGAAAAGGCTACTATTGTTTCAAAAAATAATGGTTTTGGGGAGCCTAACCTTCCACGCATTAAATCAGTACCATTAAAATTAGGTGGTGGCAAAAAACAAACTATACAGACTGTTCAAGATCATTTTCGTATAAATGTATTTTTTGGAATTATAGATAAAGTAATGATGTGCATGAAGAGTAAATTTAAAGAAAATTATTTAAGTTTGTTGAATTCTATGAATAATGTCTTATTTAATAAAAACCTTATTAATCAGTCAATAGAGGAAGTTTGTAATGCATACAAAATAGAATCAAATGATTTATCAAGTGAGATAAAAAAGTAAATAGATTATTTATACCTAAATCATGAATGTGATACAATTATAAAAAAGATAAATTATATTAGATCTAAAGATATTCAGACAGGATTCCCAAATTATACAAATATATTAAAGATTTTTTTTAACTATTCCTACAAATACTGCATCTAATGAACACAGTTTCTCAGCTCTACGGAAATTAAAAACATACTTAAGAGTCACAATGAGTCAAGAGCGATTGAGCAGTTAAGCAATCTTATATATTATACAAAAAGAATACCCTATAGATTTTGATAATATAATTGACAAGTTTGATGCCGAGGCTTCAATAAGAGGTCGTCGTTTGACACTGAAGTAGTGAAGTTGACAAATACCTAATAATTATGTTACACACAGTTAATTTTTTTTTTTAATTATTATTTATGTCAAAATAAAAAGTTGTTTTTTAATAATATTTTTACATATTCATGTACATATTTGAAATACAGAAACCCAATTGGAATAGTTATTAATAAAGACATTTTTTTATTTCATTTATATAATAAATAGGTCAGTGACATATTATTATATATTAGCCATTAGGTATTACCTACTTATTAATTGTTATAAAGTAGGTATACAAGTATAGCTCCAATCTGCATTTTACATTGTCAATAATCGTCATTTGTACATAGTTAAAAAAATGTTTAAAGGTAAATAATTGTCATTTGTCATTTGTATATAATTTTAAAAAATGTTTAAAGGTAAATAATTGTCAAAGTCAATTGTATGTAATTTAAAAAAAATTAACTGTGTACAAATTTAAAATAATTTAGTGGCATTGATTTCTAATGTTGTGCCATAAGAAAATCTAATATACTAATATATCATTATTTTTATTTTGCACACATACATTTTTTAGGCGGTTTTCAGTTGATTGTTTTGTACCTAGTTTTGTACACTGTACACTGTCTCCTACATTACTCAACGCCAATTTTGCTTGAGGTGGTATATTTTCTTTCAAGCACGTCATTCCATCTATCACTTTATCCAGAGGCAGAAAAGGTAAGCTATCGATCATACCACAATACTTTCTAAAGTCACTATCTTCCTTGTAAATGGTTGCCAAACCAAGTTTTTGTAATTTTCTATGAGCCGACGGACATAAATGATAAAACACCCATTTACCGTAATATGGTTTCCTAAAATATTTTTAGGGGCATTTATTACAGCCAACTTAAAGTCCAAGTATAGTAAGTCCAAGGCGAGTATCTTGGAGCTGGATACGTATTGAAGGTTTTACATCCATTTATTATAATATTAAACATTTCCTCATATGTAACAAGTTACAACATCTCGGCTTTGGTGGAATTTTATACCCTCTATGATTTCGAATATTTCTTTTAAAATAATCTTCCATCGGCAATTCGGCTAATACACTCTCCGGAACAAATAATATTGCAATTGAAAAAATTTGACTAGGTGCGTGGTTGATTATTGGGGCTTTTGCCTTCATATTTTTTATAATTTTACTGCAGAAAGCATATTTACATTTGACTCGTGTACGTGATCGTGTTCAATAGATATTGGATAGTGAAGTTGGACTATCAATATTTAAATCGGTTTTTAAAATACTGGGACCTGGGACACTTCATTGAACTTGATCTCCAACGAAATATAGTTTTGCATTCTTTTTGAATGTTGTACAAATATTCACCGTATAGAACTTGAGGTTTTTTTATTATTATTTCTAATCGTTTCCATTTTATACTCGCACTTTTAATTCAAACATCTGGAGGCAGCATTACCTATGTTTCAGACCTCAGTAAAATTTAAATGCCCGCCACATCGACCAGAAATACCTCCAATAGATAACAGTTCTGACTTATCAGTAAGATAGTAATAATTGTTATCAAATAAATAACAACATAATATTATTATTTGGCCGACTTTTGATTTTAGAATCATTCGATTAATTGAAATTTGAACAGAAATACAAACTACATTCGTGCAGAGTTGTATTCATACGTTTTAGTTAAAAATT